ACAGAGCAGTTTTTCCTTGTGCTGTGAATAACCAATTCAAGTTGTTACCTTTGAAATCTTTGTCAGATCCAGAGTTAGCACAATCCTGTTTGTTTCATTTCAAACACAACACAGACAATAGCAGGGAAGGAAATCTGTAGTGAACTTTCTTCTTAGCTCACCCTCATCTTGGCTCTGGCAGGCATTTGCTTCATGTATTAGTTTGAAGGTCAGAATGGGTTACCTCACTTTGGGAAAAGCAAGTGAAAACATGTCTGCATAGATGTAGCAGTCTGCCCGAGTACCTAGAGCATCCTCAAGTCACCTGGCCACAGCTACATGAATCTGGTGAACCATGCAGCCTATGCGCTAGGGTTTGTGTCTTGCTGCATGTGGGTGTGGAAAAAGGAGAGGAGGACTGGTTAACATTTCTGGATGGTTCCATATCTTTTCTATCTTCCCACATCTGTAATTAGAGAAAGGGTATGTGATTTTGACTTAGTTCCAGTGGGACACAGTTATTATTAAATATTTAGGTATAATCTTAAGAATTACCATTTAACATATGTCAAAGACAAACATGTAGTATTCCCCATAATATTACCATGGTTCTTTTGTGCAGGAGCTAGCAAATGTGTTGAAAATGTCAAAAACTGAGAATAGATTTCTTCTGCATAGCCAGAGTAAGAAATACAGTGACAGAGATGGAAATATTCTAGTCCCCCCAAACACTACCCATTTGACAAGCCTGAACCACATGAAAGAGCAGTGGCAGCTAGAATGGATGTGGTGTCAAAAGAGGAAGGAGAATTTCTGCCCTCCACCCTTTGTATCCCTAAAGGAGAAGAAACTTTCAAGTTGATCACATGATTCTCTTAAGTCCAAAGGAGAAAACAAAAAAATGTATGATGGATTAAGTAACCCTCCAAAAAGGGCTCTTAGACCAAATCTCTCATGTGCTAGAGCTGTAGGACCCAGACAGATAAGACAAAGTTGTTCATTATAATCCATTCTAATTAGCAATTTAGATTTGCTAATAGCCTGCTCATAATTCTTGTACACCATGAATATAATAATCATAATATGATTAAATTCTTTTAACTACTACCAAAGCAGACAATAAGTAGTATCACTTTTAAGCACTTCTGAAATTCATCCTTTGCGCTGTTCTTCTCACCATTACTTCAGGTGGCCCTGGCTTCATGACTGCATTATTACTCTACCTTATTAAATAAAGTTGCTATCTACACCTGTAAGGGAGATGGGACCTGGGACTTGAAAAGGCCAATCTGTTAGGTTTTACTTTTTTTTTAAAATCTTATATGAATGGAGATAAATTTATCATTTCCTTAAAAATAGGATGAAGGATCTCCCAGGTGGCACAGGCATTAATGTCTCAGCACTATCAAGCTATCACCAGCCACATAGCCTGAGTTTGATCCCTGGCAAGGGAACTAACCCACAAGGAGCAGTGGGAATTAACCCATCTCACCTGCTGCTTCTCTCAGTATTTCAGTAAATCGACCTGTTCTGCTCCCTACTCTGTCTCTGGTGATTCTCTCGCCTGATTGGAGAGAAAGTATCATTATATTGAAATGGAGTTGTGTTGTAATGGCTCCTGCTGTGGCAGAGTAGTGAGAATTCACAGGCACTAACCAGATGGGGTGGCCAGGGAGAATTATTTTGTCTTCTATCCTCCCCTCTCCCCACCTTCTATCTACTTTATAAAAGAATGAGGCCTTGATGCAAATATAAATGAAAGCTGCACTTTAAATGTACAGCTTGATTTATTAGGAACTTAAACTGGCAATTGAAGGTATAAAGTTACCTATTTTAAAAAAAGATTTATTTTTATTTATTTATGCATACAAGAGCTGTGGTGTAGTTCTGGGGTATGGGGGTGGGGGGTGAGAGGATTCACCAGAGACAGAGTGGAGAGCAGAATAGGTGGATCCACTGAAATACACTGCTGAGGGGAGTAGCAGGAGAGACAGGAGAGGTCTATTGAACCATGTGGGTCACCTCCTTGGCTGGGGATGGAACTCAGCCCACAGTGGCCGGCCATAGCTCGACAGGCCTGAGAGTTCACCCCTGTGCCACCAGGGAGGCCCAAAGTTGCCTGCTCTTAAGAAGAAAGCATGTAAGGTGTGAAAGGTTAAGGTGTTCCTCAACAAGCACTGTTACCTCCCCTGCTGCAGGTGGGCCCTCAGAATTCATCTCAGCTGGAGACATTATGGTATGGCTAGAGCTTAAAGCCTATTGTGAATACATTGAATCAATTTCTATTTCATTATCGCTAGTATAGAAGATTATATATTGGAAAGTCTTTCACTTTGGGCAAATGGATGAAGGTCTCATGAAAGCAGTTACTCTAAAAACTTTAGTTAGGATATGTTTTTTCTTCACACAAATGTTGGTATTTCTGCTGGGAGTAAAGACTCTTTCTCTATAACCTTGGGAGTACACATCACACACTCATGGGCACACATGTTTGGCTTATGTAACGGTGATATATTTATTTATTTACTTTTAAAGATTCATTTATTTATGCATACAGAACTGTGGTACAGGCCAGAGGTGTGGGTGTTGAGAGGGTAAGAGGATTCACCAGAGATAGAGTGGGGAGCAGAACAGGCAAACTGAATACACTGCTGAAAGGAGCAGCAGGCGAGTCAGGAGAGGTCTGTAACGCCATGTGGGTCACCTCCTTGGCCGGGGATCGAAGTTGCACTGCAGTGGCTGCAATAACCTCACAGTTCTGTGCTTTACCCCATTACACCACCAGGGAGGGCCCTGATATATTTAATTTTTTATATTTTTTTCTATTAGCTGCAGATCTTCAAATAATATCTCAATTTTACAGCAATGTCAGTAGTCTTGTCATTCATAAGTCACTGGTTTTACTTTAAAGTTTATACAACCAGGAGTAAGAACTTATAACATCTCAGGAATGACTGGTTATGTTTCTGATTTAGACAGCAGCAAAAAATGACAGATAGTTCTAATTTACTTTTTTGTATGTTTTAAATATTTAAAAGTAAAATATTTACTATATTAAGGTGAAGGGAAGTATAAAATGCAAGCATATAAACAATGTAAGAGAAGCAAATATTTTTCCTTTAGAGATAATATGATAACTCTCTTGGAAATCCAGTTCAATAAGTAAAATATAAGATAAATAAGGACACAATATTTTTATTACAAATTAATTAATTGCTATATTGAAAACTTAAATATTCAGTTTTTAAGTTTTTAGACCAGAAAAGGAATTTCAGTTTGTAAATATAGGTGGTAGATGAAGATGTAATAATGATGATTCCAGAAAAGATTAATCTATTAAGTATTGAAGAATAAAAAACCACCTTGCAAGACTTCAAAAGAGCAATAATTTTCTGTAAGTGATTAATGATTTATAAGCAGAAATATATATACAGAAGTATATATAGCATAACACCGCTATCTGTTGACACAAAGACTAAGAAACTTTAGTATTGGGGTATGAAATTATATATAACTGAAGATAAAGCATCTTACATTATTTTCAGTGCTTATGTGAGAACCAAGACCCTAACATTATTTTTGTTACATGAGAAATGTATACAAAATGATACATGAGAAACATGTAATGTTTAAGCTAAAAGTAAACCAGGAGAATGTTGCAAGTTTAGATAAACTGGAAACTGCTGTAGTTTATAAATATCTTCACTTATATAAAACTAAATTAAAGCAATCTCATTTGGCCCTATGTAAAAACAATACAAAATCTAAAGATCATATCGTTATAAGATAAAGTCAAAATGATGCAAATATGATATGTAAACTAATAACCTGATTAAAACTTATGAACTGTGGTTTTTGAAGTGTTCTGGTAAAACAGTATGCCTGTCACTCTTGCACTCTTGATAGACCACAGTTCATTAATCCATTCACCCAAGATCGTTCCTGAGCCAGATGGAGTCTATCTCTCTGCTGTCCTTTTATAGTGACTAGATGAAAGCAGATACTATTTCTTAGGCTATTGCATCACCCCCCCTTTCCAAAATCAAAAGAAAAATGGATATTTAGGGAAATCAGGAGAGATCCTGCATATCCAGGCCAAGTACCATCTAAGTAAAAGTACTTTTGTGGCCTTCGGTCAATGTCACTGCTTCTCTTACCTGAACAGGAGTGAGCTTTAGTGATCTTCACTAAATTTTCTTAGGATCTAGCTCCCAACTGTTACACACACTATTTTATTATGTAGTAGTTCCAACATAGTATATATATAAACATGAAATTATATATATATGATATGCAATATATAGTGCTATGTATTATATATGACATATATCACATATGAAATTATATATATTTCATGCTTCAGTTGTTGGAACTTTTACATTCTAAATACATTTTATATATTATGTATTTTATACATGACATACATGTGTATAGTTATATAATATACATTATGTACATGACCATGTGTGTCTATACACATATATAAAATCCTGCTTTCTACCTCCCTGCCACAACTAGTCTTACATGCTCTAAGAGTGTTTCATCTAAATATATTTTATATTTTATATATGACATACATGCATATATTTACATATTGTATATATTTACATAATATATATTATGAAGAGACTGAAATAAGTTTGTCTCTCATATTTTCTTAAATTTTATACTGTAATGAAAGTGAGGTTAATTGGCTATAAAAGGAAGCCATAAACAGGCCATAGCTTTAAAACTGACTACAATGGAATCTCTCTATGCCACCTATGATAGAGGGGACTTTTAAAACTAAGTCCAAACAGAAAAATCTCACCAAAAAAATTCTAAAGGTTAGATAATAAATGATTATTTCTTATCATCTTCATAAAAATAAAACTATTTTATCTTTTATTAATACATGTCTCTTAGAATTTTGATGATTTCCCTTACTGACTTCTAAAAGGAAGCATTCAATTAAGACCTGATGGAACAGGAAACTTTCTTTGTTTCTGGCCCCCATCCCTAAATGATTGCAGTCAATATGTTTATAGTTGCAGACTTTCACCTAATGAAGATGTTTTTAAGGTTTAGTCAAGTCATGAACAGAAAAGGAATGTCCGGATCTCTTCAGAAAGGAGAATCTCTTGAGAAAAGGGCTCGTCCACTCGTCATGGTTTTTCTAATGGCATCTTTGACCTCCTTGTTCCTCAGGCAGTAAATGATAGGGTTGAGCATGGGGGTGAAGACTGCGTAGATGGCTGAGATCAGCTTGTTAGAATTGAATGATGCAATGGCCCGAGGCCGGACATACATGAAGATCACAGCTGTGTAGAAGATGATCACCACTGTGAGGTGAGAGGCACAGGTGGAGAAGGCCTTCCGCTGCCCACTGGCTGAGGGGATGTGCAGGATGGTGGAGACAATGAAGGCGTAGGAAAGGACAGTGGCTGAGAGAGGAAACACAAGGATGACGATGGCCAATGCAAAGTCTACCATCTCAGCCAAAGAAAAGTCTTTGCAGGCCAGCTTGAGGATGGGAGACACATCACAGAAAAAATGGTTCAAGATGTTATTGCCACAGAAGGCCACTCTGGAGATGAAGTATACCTTTGCCATAGAGATAGTGAAGCCACTCACCCAGGAACTGATGGTTAGTTGGACACAAAATCCAGTGGTCATCATGACTGGATAGCGAAGAGGCCAACAGATAGCCACGTAACGGTCATAGGCCATGGCAGCCAAAAGTACACATTCAGTACAGGCGAGGGAGATGAAGAAATAGAGCTGAGTCATGCAACCCAAGAAGGAGATGGTGTTAGGATGAAGGAGGAATCCAGTAAGCATCTTGGGAACTGTGACAGATATATACCAGGTCTCCAGAAAGGACAGAGTGCCCAGAAAGTAGTACATGGGCTTATGCAGGGAGCCAGTGACCCACACAGTCAGGATGATGACCAGATTTTCTAACAACACAAACAGGTAAGTAATAAGGAAGAAGAAGAAGAGCAGCACCTGCAGCCCAGGGGCAGTAGGGAAGCCCACCAGGATGAACTCGCTCACCAGAGTGATGTTTTCCTTATACATAGTTAGGACACCAAGAGAATGTAACGATGAGAGCACCACATCGAAGAGTGGGATCCACATTGCCGGCCAGGCACACTCAGGCTACATGATAAACTGCAGGCACTTTACCATTACACTGATCCTAGTGTTAGATTCTGGACCAAGGAGTGATTTGGTATTCACAGGGTGGCCACAGGATCCTCTAAGGATAAGACATCAGAAGAGGACTTGGAAACAAATCCACCATAGATACTAAGCTAATTCAAACAGATTCACAAGGTCAGAACTGGAGTTCAGGCCTTCGAATCTGGGCAAGAAAGATTTCTTCAGGAACTACTGGAATAAATACTTTTATTATCAGTGTACTCCCAGATTTCAGGGGTAGCTACGAGCAGGAGAACATGATGATTGGAAGAAGGAAGCAGAGAGGTTCAACTTCTGGAGGAGATAAAAGCAGAATATCAAATGGAAAAATGCTTCTGTACAGAGATGCTGACCCTAGCCTACTCCTCAGCTGTTTCAAGTCTTTCAAAGACTCTGGGGAAAGTGGTTAACATTTTCTGTCCATTCTTATGTCCAGGGTTTAAAATGTTGAATGCAGAAGTAGCTTCCCTCTTAGAATTATTGAATATCTTCTGATTTTATAGATGGTTCCTAATAACACTAATAATAGTAGTTATAAATTTACATGTAACTATAATATCACGTATCATATTTATTTTTATTATTTACATATAAAGATGTTAACTGTAATATTTTACCTATAATATATAACATCTATTTCTTTTATATTATATAAAATCTTTTATATAACTATGTAACGATTTATGTTAAATATGTAGTATGTAATAGTTGTAAATAGGAGAGTTCATAATACATACTTACAATATTTCACATTTTATTCCAAATTAATTTACATGATTATCTAGATATATCCTCTTAAAGACTGGTTCAAAGTTTTTATACTGAAGAGAGTGCTACTTGATTCATTTTATCTATTTGTTGACTCTGCAGATTCCCCTTATTATGGACACTGCTTAGAACAAGTTTAAGGAACTTCCTTGGGAGCAGGCAGTCAAGAAAGTCAACATCTCAGAAGAGTCCTGGGCTTCCATGGAACCTTATGATCTGGGAGAGGATTAAAATTTAAAAACATTTTCTTTATGAGTGGAGATAAAGACATATAAAAGCAAAGATAAAAATTGGCTTGCAATTACAAATAAAATTAACCTAAAAGAGAAATATACTGGACTTTCCCTGGTGGCACAGCAGGTTAAAGCACAACTAAAGCCACTTTAGCACGAGTTTGACCCCCAACTAGGGAGCCTGACCCACATGGCACAGCAGAACTCTCCTGACTGGCCCACTGCTCCCCTCAGCAGTGTATTTCAGTTAATCTACCTGTTCTACTCCCTACTCCATCTCTGGTGAATCCTCTCACTGCCCCTGAACCTCTAGCCTGCACGCCAGTTCTGTATGCATAAACAAATAAATCTTAAAAAAAAAAAAAGAGAGAGAGAAATGTACTTTTCAAGGAAACCAACAGAGATGACCTGGATAAGGAAAGGCAAAATTCAGGGAACTAGAAAGAAGGGTAAGATGTGGAATCTTCTAGAAGTGTAGTAATTATTTCTAATTTACACATACTTTGTCACATAAAACCTTCAGAGGTCATATAATAGAGTCATTTATATGTGTTGGAGAAAAGTTCCAATGAACTAGAACTCAAATTTGACTTCTTTCTTCACTATACTTATTAAAGTTTTCCTTTAATTAATTTTAACAACCCTCTTGGGGAGGTAATTTTTGTCCCAGAGGTGTGATATATGGGAGCACAAGCTGAAATATGAACAAGGAATTTTTACATGTGAATGAACACTCACTCATCTCTGATATGTCAGGACTCAGAAAGCAGAAGAGTGACATAGCTGGGGACTCAACATGGACAAAAGGAACCTCAGTATCAAGAGGGCACTAGAGCATCAAGGAAATGACAGACCAGTAGGATAGAGATTGGGACACCTACCCCTGATACAGCTCTTACTATGTTTACCTTCCAAAGAAAACTCTGCTTCTCTAAACTACAATTTCCCTAGGTGTGAAAGACAGCTATAATACTAAAACTTTCAGCAAATAATGAAAACAGAATATATAGTATTGTTAGTGGCTAAGATTCAGATCTCGAATCCTTATGGTCTGGCCCCTCACACTGCATCTGAAAATGTGAAGGTGAGAAAATCATATGTTCCCCTCCAAAGTCTTGAGACAGATAAAACAAGTAAATAAATCATGACAAGTCCAATGTTTCATAGAAATAAGAAAAACACCTGTTCAGGGTGCCCACTGGCAGAAGATACTAATTTTGCATTCAGAGGTGACCTTCCAAGAAACCAATGGGACATTTTAATGCATCTGGGCAGCTGAGCCCTGCTGGAGAAAAATCACAGAAAAGGACAGGTAATACCACCATAAATTTATGGCCATGGAGCTCAGCTGGGTCACAAACAGTGGTTGGCTATCTTACCCTATTCCTAGGTCAGTTCACACTTCACTTTCCCCAGACTCTTGCTTCTGAACTCCAATTTGCCATCCTCCCCCTCCTCCACTCAGCAGACAGTTTCACTTCTTTTTACAAAGACAAAACTATCAGCTGTGCACTTACTCAACTCCAACTACCCAATCGCTATGCTCACCTTCTGGCATTTGCTTATTCCTTCCTTCCTTCTTATCTAACACCAGCCTTTCCATCTGCACAATTCCATGTCTTAGGAAACTCATTTATCAGAAATCTCTTTTTGTAAATATTCATCGAGCACCTACTAGGTGAAAGACACTATACTTGATGCTTGAGGTAACTCGCCAGACATAAAACAGACCAAAGACCCAATATTAAGAGGTTTTATCGTAGTGGAGAGATACAGGCAGTAAATCCAGTCCTCAAATTTTTGAATAAATATAAACTAGGTATTGATAAATTTTATGGAGAAAATAGAGCAAGGTAAGGAAGAATAAGGAGTATGGGGTTGGCCAGGATAAACCTTGTTAAGCAGAGACATAAAGAAGGTGAAGGCATCAGTCACTGTCTGGTGACCGTAAGGAAAACAGGAGATCAGTATTGAGCAGAAGTGACTAGAAGAGAGCAATAAAGTCATAAAAGTAAGGGGTTGGAGAAGGGATGAAGAACTTATCATGGCCCTCTTAAGCACAAGTAATCCTGTTGCCTTTTACTCTGGGTGGATTGTGGACATTGGACATTTTGAAAGGTTTGGGACACTTGATGACCCAATGTAACTGATGTTATAAGAATTCTTCTGTCAGGTTCTAGTTATCTGAATCAGTTCCTACAATTTTTAAAGTTAATCAATCAGTTCTCCCTCTAAAACAATCCTCTTCACTAGCCCTAGTTTTTGTTTCTGGTTGAGAACACTGCAGCATCATTTCACCCTTCTCTTTCCCTATTTTTGAGGGCTTACTTTACATGGCTACTACCATTCCAACAATATCCAGGTTTTTTCAACTTAAAAATGTTGGTTTTAGTTTCCCACTCCATGACCTCTCCCTTCACTAGAACCCCTATGCCTGGTAGGGGTCAGGCACTGAAAAACAAAAAAGATATTGGAGTTGTACAGGAGACAAAAAAGGGAAAATTTGTGCGTTTGCATAGTCGTCTTCCACCTGAAGTTCCTTCTCACTCTTGCTACCTGGAAGATGCCTGTTCAGACTGATGCTATCAAACCATAACTATCCCACCACCACCACTCACCTTTTGCCCATCATCCCTGCTATTTGGTTTTGCAACATTTTTGGGTCTCTGCTTATCTGTCACTACTATGAGATTTGTGAACTCATTAGAAACACCAAGATTATCCTATTTTCAGCTTGTCTGTCTTTTTATCCTAACATCCAGCACAGTTCTTCATGTGTGGCTGGTACTCAGTTAACACATAATTGGTAATGTTTAACTAAAGCCAGATGCCTTACCATATTGCACTTTGTTAATTTTTAGTTAGGGGCCTGTGTAAGGTAGGTCATCTTGGTTAAGTCTGGCTTAGAGATCTTGATTCAGGGATCCAGTTGTCAAATCTGTGGAAAGGGTTCCAGAGAATATGGTCAATGTAACTTCTCTAAGTATTTGCTTTTCTACTTGATAGAAGTTGCAGATAGATAGCAGAGAAGAAAAGGGAAAAAAAAGAGAATAAGAAATTAAGGAGAATCTTTGGAATAGCCTGTCCTAAGCCTAGACAATGTCTTCTTAATGAAGGTTTTATGTGATTCTACTTACCTGGGATAGAGTGTGGGGTCCAGGACAGTTACAGGAAAATGAATATTATTCCAGTGTAGATTCAAAGAAAATTCAAGAACACCTAACTCACATTTGCAGTGATACTTTTAAATCCATTATTGAAAGGTTACTTCTGGGCCTGTTGGATCACTCTGCTCAATAATAAAAGCCGAAGATGGAGAGATTTTTCTTTTGGTGTTTTTTCTCCGTATCTATTCAATGTGTATCTCTTTCCATGTGTCTCTCATTTTCATTCTCTCATTTCTCTGTCATTGCACCTGCACTGGCTTTGAAGTTGAATCTCCCACCACCTCATCCAGATGATCTAGAGCTGCAAGGGCCAGGATGAAATGAGCCCACTCAGTAGCAACAACGGCTCTTTAAAAGGCACATCCTTGGGGATCTGATTCATAGGTTCTCTAGGATTTTCAAGACCAACAATAACAGAGAGTCAGAGAAATTTCCCTAGTGATCTCCAAGAGTCAACAAACAGAACCTGCTAGATGATGAGCCAATGGAGAAAGAAGTAACAGGTTCATGGCAAATCAGTCTGGTGATTTATCCCAACCTTAGGCCCAAATCTTTCTTTTCTTTCTTTCTTTCTGCTTGTCTAGAAATTAATCATTTTTTGTGACATTATTTAAGGTTTTTAATAATAAATAGTGAGAGGGTTCTAATAATGAGAGGGTCAAAATATAGAAAAGATGAGTAAAGTGTTAATGGTACTTTAGTAGCACAA